CAGTCCTGGGATAACATGGGGGATCTTTTGGGAAGCAGGTTTTGCAGATGCTGGGCGCCTTGCCTGGAAAAACTTCTAGGGAGGACACGGTTTATATTTTCTTATCCACAACCTGCAGGCTGAGGTTTACTGTGATGCCCATAGAGCTGCTGCCTAGATATACAGCTGTATCTTACATAAACTGAAATGCTGGGAAATATACAGTACATAGAAAGGCTGAGAACAAAGAAGAAAGTCAAAAACAGAATGACTTAAAAGGGAACCTGCCATAATGGAAGAATAGGACTGTGCACGAGCGCACATTTATAGACGGTAAAGATGATAGACACATTTACGCACAAACCTTTGCATAAAGAAAACCGAGAGACTCCCATTTCTGAACCTCTCCTTCAAAATACTAATTACCTGACCGCCATGCTGATGCTCTTGCTTCAATCATGTACATTAGATAAAGGACTTCTGACTTTGCACAGATTTTACTGATCTGTATACTCCTTTTGGTTTAATGATTCAAAGTACCCAAATCAATAGTTCAGCATAACAGCCAGGCAACTACAAATTTCAATGAGTGGTCGGCAGCGTCAAACCCTGCATTTCTCTCTAGGTTTACTCTACTTAGAGCACCTTAGAGGCCATAAAATAAACTGTTAAGATTCACCACTGAGTTGCTTCTCTTGCTGTACCCATCAGTGGGCATCATTTAATCAAAGCTTCTCAGGAAGTTTGTACTGCACTAAAGCTAGCCATAGACAGCTGGAATCTCACCCATGGGTGGCCCTGCAAACACCTTCAGGCTCCACAAAAGACACTTTCAAAATAGACAAAGTGGTTGTAAACCTCAGACATGAAATATGAACAAAGCATATCCCTCTATAGTGCGTACTTGTCTCTATCCAAAGCACCAAGTGTCTTTTCAGTCTGCTGCCCCATTCCTCTGCTATCAACATGAATCACTTCTGACAAGTTTTCCTGACACCAACAGAAACATGGTGACAGGGGAAGGACCTCCAGCAGATTGACAGCCTCAGTTCTACAATCAGTTCTTAGAGCTCTTCTTACTGAGCTCTGCAGAGAGTAATTTCAGCTCTCCGCCCTATTTTTTTGTGACAGCTCAGACAAGCTTTAAAAATTCTGGACTTTGAACAGATGTAGAGAATAGAAGATTGTAGATAAACAGGTGTAACTTATGTAGGTGGATTTGTTTGAACTGTGTATCACCTGAAGATACTCACTTCACAGGATATACGTAAAGGTTTACAACCACTTTAACCCCTTTGTGCCGGTGCCTCCCTGCCCTTTAAGGGATTTCTAACACCGGGGAGGCAGAGCAGGGTTTAGGGTCATGTGACTGCTGTGATTGGCTGTCATGGCAGTCACATGATCGGAAAGGTCCCGATCTCCATGGGATGCTGACACGTGCTGAAGTACGCAGAGCATGCGCTCTCAGCACGTTTGTTTACAAATTGTCCACAAATATGCGGCCTCTCGGCGTTAAGGCCCAGCCACTAAGAGGCCGCATATTTGCGTATGCTCGGCGTGAAGAGGTTAAGCGGACTAGAAAAATTTCATGTCAAGAACATTCATGCTACTAATTGTTGGGTCAAACTGTCATTAGATTGACAGCAATGACAAGAAAATTAAAATGAGAAAGAATGGCAAATGTGTCTGGAATGAATGAATTTCTAACAGCAAAGAGGTTTTCATTTGGGAAAGTCCATTCACTCTAAAAACCGAATGTTGAAAGGAACTGAAATTTCAAAAGGATAAGTTCGCCTTTTGTGAGAAAAAAAAAAGCACACTTTTTTTGTGGGTAAAAAAAAAAAAAAAAGAAAAGTATTTATTTATTTACTGCAGTCTGTAAAGCATTGCACCCACGATCAGCAGATTGCAGGTACAATTCCAGGATCTTGCAGACACTCTGTAGGCTGTTTGCCCCGTACCTCCCACATGGCAGTTACTGAGCTGGCAGGAAGAATCCATGAACTACGAGAGAGCTCACCGGAGACCTTACAGTTCATTGAGTACTACAAGCCGTCAGCTGCAATCGCTGACAGTACTTGTAGTCTATTCATTCACAGGAACTGTAAATGAATGATGCAGCCGTGTGGGCAGATGCACCTCACCTCATGTAGTCACTGTTTGGATATTCAGGCAGCCACAGGAACCGCAGCTGTCTAAATACTGTGGCTGGGGAACATAACGGATTTCTCCTGGCTCAGCACGCAGGGCAGAATGAGAGAAACGAGCTGTGTATGGCCTGCCTTGGCAAAATAAATTGATAATCTGGTTGATTGTTATACATTGTGAAGAACATCTGAGATATTTTGATAAAAGAGGTCCCTGAACTACACAGAATTTTGCAGTGATTGAACTTGCTTGTTCATAATGACAATGAAGATTGCTATATGAACCTCTAAACTCCATTTAGCCCAGTAAGCAAATAAAAATAAACTATCGCCCTCTACTCTAAATTGATGACTTAATCCTAAAGTGCAAGTGTGAAGAAAAATTGTAGAAATGGCAAACCATTCAGAAATGAACTTTCATTTACCTGATTATACTGAACCATTGGTTATAATGGATCACTGCTTTGTTGTTTAAATAAAGCCTATGAAATAATGTATATCTGTGCTAGTTAGTCTAATGACAAAATACAACTTTTTCATATCCCCCCAAAAATTAAAAAATACTTCTGAAAAGGTGATTTTCTGGACAGAAAGCAAACTTTTTCTGGACAAAACAAAACAGAAAGCTCTTGTTAGAATCACAGCAGGCTCCATATAGTGACAAAACATGCCACTATGTGATGTGCCCATACTTTCATGGCACCAACAAGTTTACTGAGCCAGCAAGCTTGTTTTGGGCACAACCCCAAGTACAGTACACTACGTGGAGCATTAGCAACCCCTTGCCAGGTACAAATATTAGCACACGGCATGTTCTAGTGCCTGCTTTGATGCACACATCATTTGTTAATTTTTTCTGTTGTCCAGTCACAAGATTAATTTAACTCCTTTACAACCACTTGACACATATGTGATGTGGCAAAAGAGTGGGCTTTAATACCAAACACTGCACATATGCATCGCTGGGTGGCTCATTTTTATGTGCTGAAAGCAAGCATGCTTCCAGCACAAAGACTGAGCTGTCAAAGACTAGACCAGTGGTCTCCAAACTGCGGTCCTTTGCCTGCCTTTATCTGGATCCTGAGGCACATATTTCTCACACTAACACCAATGATGGAGAACCAACAATGGGGCATTACTCCTGCTATTGACATCAACAATGGGGCATTATAATTCACACCAACACCAATTATGGGGCACTGTTTGCCACCACTGATGCTGGGGCGTATTGCACTCTCATTGACCAATTTGCCCCTCCTAAAGTCTAAAGGGAAGCAAAACTGGTCCTTTATTTGGAGAGATTGGAGACTCCTGGTCTAGACTACAGATTAGTAAGCTGGCAGGACCAGCTTCTGATCATATGACTGCTGTGACAGTGGTCACAGGTTGGCCAATCCTTCCTACATACTAAACGGTTTAAAAGGTACACCGAGGCAGGTGGGAATGGGTTAAATATACTCAAAACAAACTTAATATACTGCATATTATAAGTCTTCAGGTATGGCGGCTGCGTGATCTTGCCAGTAATATAAACTTTCTATCCTAGAGTGGCAATACTAACAAACTGCACTGTATCTGTGGAGAAGCAGTGTTGTCACCCTAAGCGCCTGTTCACACTTGAATGCAGTTCGGGGAACCCACGTTCTGTGCACGTTTCCCGCACTGCAGTTGCAATCTGCAGCAGGTGTCAATAATAAGTTAAGGACACCCCAAACGCAGGTGGCAACCACAGTGCATTTGCCTTCACCAGATCACATGGTAAAGTATTGCATGCACTACTTTTGTGTGTGTGGTGCGATTTCATTCAAAATGAATGGGCTGAATCTCACCGCACAGAACTTCAAGTGAATCAGTGTGAAGCCGCCCTAAGACAGGAAGCATTAGAACAAGAGAACACTTCTCCCTATCTCCATTATATATAGAGGAGGTGTATGTAGTTCACAGAAGGCAGCTGGGAAAGATAACATTGTTTGAGCACAGAAAGTTACAAGGACACAAGAAAACTAATGCAGCCACCAGCTCTAAAGACTGGTAAGCTGCATTAGATTACATCTTCGCTCTTGAGTTAAGATATACTTGATGACCTGACAAGCTCTTGCACAGATCAGAGGAACACAGATAATAAATTTAAAGAATATAATGTCACCTCCCAGGAAGTGGAAACAAACTTTAGATACAAGTTTAAGACCATGGAGGAAATTGATTAGAAGAAAGAAGAAAGAGAAGAGAAGAAGAAAGAAAGAAGAGAAGAAGAAGAAGAAGGAGCAAAGAGACTTCCCAGCATCCCATTTCATCATAAATTCTGAAAAGGGGGGGATATTGGCAATTGAGCAGCGAGGCACTTCACTCCTCTCTAGGCAGCAAAGTGGAATTGTCTACTCCTGTAAGATATTGCCACTAAGCCCCAGAGCTAATTCTAATATGCTATAGTTAAAATCCTGTAACAATATGCATTTGCTTTCCTCTAAAAATATTTGAGCATGTGGTCCCTTTTTGTATTGCTAAACCTGACAAAAGAAAAAAAAATTAAATAGAAAAAAAAAACCTCTGCAAAATAAACACATTTTTTCTGTTTAGTAAATAGTTCATTAAAATGATGCAGCATTAGAAAGGGAAAAGAAGTTAAAGAAAAAAATGAAAATAAGCACATATTTGATTTCTTTTCCCTCCCAAAAAGGGAACATATCTGAACACCTTTAAATCTTCCCAACCAATGGAGATCTGCAAGTTGGGACTTCATGATGCACTGCATGCCTCTCCTTCACCAGAAGGACCAGGCCAACTCCACCTTCTGTACATGTATGATACAAGGAGCAGAGCTCTGCTGCCCTCTGCTAGCAACCAGCAGTCACTGTTTTTCCATCAGCCTTGGTTTTACTTGCGGTCGTCGATGGTTTTAATAAACTCCACAGCAGCCGTGAACTGCATCCACCAGTAGGATTCCTCTCCACTTAATCGGTTTGAATAGAAATTATTGATGTATTGCACAGTAGATAACAAGCAGGGAGGGTTAGCCTGGAGAAAAGGAAACAGGATAGATAGTCATTTTTAACAACAGAGTACTAAAGGGACAAAAAACATAAAAATTCAAAAATGGCCAACAGTATTTTTGTGACAGAAAAGACCATATTTTGTCTTTTGTCATAAATACTTCCCATACCGGTCAGCATTTGTGTACCCTGAGCTGCGCATGGTTTCATGCCAGGATGATGTGACTCCTGTGTACACGCATGGAAGGGACATCATCCGGGCCTCGCCACTCAAGCTGAAGAGCCAGAACCTGGAATGACCAGTGGAATAAAATGGAAGCACCGGTGACCAATAAGAGAGCTGACAGGGATCGCTTCCAAGGTAAATCTGCCATAATGTGTTAATATGCCGTGCAAAACATTATGGCTAATAATGCTCCTGTGATCCCATTTTTTATTTTTTTAAATTTAGGTTTAATTCTACTTTAGGAAACTAGCAGTAAGACTGTTCTGCATTTTGTATTTTAGATAAATCCAGTCTATTCTGCTTCTCGTCAAAATGCTTCCTAAGAAATGCTGTAGGGACAGTTTAAGCACCAAACAAGTATCCCTCTCCTGTATTTGCTGGGTCTATCTTAAAGTGGTTGTAAAGGCTCAAGGTCTTTTACCTTCATGTACCAGCTTCTCCAGGCCTCTCGCTCTTCACTTACTAAGACAGCAGCAGGAGTCACTGGCTCCCACTACTGTCATTTACAGCCAGAGAGGAGAGAGCGGGGGTCAGGGCCGAGCCATGTTTGTGTGTGAATGGGGGCTGCTCTGTGCAAAACCACTGCACAGAGCAAGTATGACTTTTTTTTTTTAAATATGTCTTTAATATTTTAAAAATTCAATTTAGGATTTTGTTTAAACATTACCTTTCTATGATTTACAACAGCATATAAAAAGGTTTTCGGTTGCTTACCTTTATGAGAACAAACACCAGGACGGGGACAAAATCGTCAGCTCCTGGGACGGAATATTCATTGGCAAGGCTGAGAAGATTCATAATTGTTGAACACATGCGTAGGATGCACTGCACCTTGTCCCTTGGGGTCTTATAAGCACTAATAGTTCGTATCTCAGCTTGAGCAGAAGGCCAAGGAGCTTCCCTCAGATAAACCTGAAACATATAGGATGTAATTCATTAGTGAACGTTTTTTGGCACTAAATATTTAATACCTCCCCAGAGGTCCACCTTGCTATACTGACCTCAGGGATCTGAAGAGCTCTATGATTGGCAGACACGACCTTAGACAGCCTTTGAATGTGTTCATGTAAAACCCTGTTGAAGGAGAGACAATGTTAGGTATCTGAGACCATAAAGCATTAACTAGATACACCTGAAAGACCGGCCTAGCTATAGGAAATTCTAAACTCACTAGAAAAAGATACATTTGGGGGCAGTATGCCAACAGTGTGCGTTCAGAGACTCGCATCAGCACAGCGGTCAAATTGGGATCAGTGTCCTTATGGTCACTGTGTCCTAATAGACATGAATAGGATTACCTGCATGCAGATGCACGGAACACCTGTGCATCCTGCGTGGATGAATATGCACGCCCATGATAATGTGGCCTTAAAAAAAGAACCAAACCCTCCAATCCCTTACAATCAAGACGTGGACAGCAATCTGATGGCATGACAGTTTGGCTGAGAGCAAAAGTAGCTGACAGTTGACATTCACAGCATACATTGCATGCAATAAATCATTGCAAGGATTAGAGGAGCAGGTGGACTTTCTGCACCCGTGATCTAGAGAAGTACAGCCAAAAAAAAGCTTTGGCTATACCTTAACATTTTCCAGACTAAGAAGAGTGCAGCTAAGAGTTTTAAGGTGCCATGCACGCCCACCCCACCCCACCTAATCTTTGACTAGTGAGTTTGGAATGCAATCACTGATGGGTTAATACCAAGGCGTAAGTTTGTGTATGAGGACAGAAAGAGGGATCTCCTGTGACATCCTTTGGATTGCATGAGCAGATGTCTGCAAACCTCCCTCCAGCAATCTTGAGTGCCACATGTTTTGTTTATCTAATCAACCATAGGATAGATCTGATCTTCCATTGTTTGATCCCAGGCATCCAATGATCCATGGATCATAGACGGGTCGTTTATCAGCCAAATTTTCATCCGCACGAAAAATCGGCCAATAATCACGCCGTCAGTGGGGCCAGCCCGTCGGCCGTTTTTCGCAGATCTCCTCATTTATTTTTATTGGTCATGCTGGAAAAAATCTGCGAAAAAAACGGCCGTTTTTCATGGACATGGGTGGCAGCATCGGCAACGAGGCCGACCGATTTTTTGTTTATCGGCCGACCATTCGGCCGATAAACGGCCCGTCTATGGCCTGCCTTACTCTCTTGCCTTTACCCCCCTTGTTTCTATTCTGCTGCTGGGAGTGAAGAGTTTAGCCTTGTGTAAACTGAGCAATGAAGCAGCCAGTGCTATCACATGGGAGTAGTGGGACGCAGTCACATGATCCTCACATTTAAAGTTTCAGATATTTATCCTTCCTCTCCGGCTCTCACCAGCCAAGCAGAAGATCTGGCTGCTGTTTAAATGAACCTATTGTTTTGGACCTTGTAGGCAAAGTGCAGATTCACTGTCAAGCTCTGTTGCCCTCAGTTAACTTTCCTCATGGCTACTGCTTTTCTTCCCAAACCAACTCACTGATCACGAAGAACATCTGCATCCTGATTGGGGTTGAAAGCCAGCTTGAAGATGCGATTCATCACACTCCTCTCTATTGCAATCTGGGCATCCTGAAGCTGTTCCTCGCTGGCATTTTGCCAGATGACATCCTGGGCCATGGCACCATACAGGGACTGAAGGAACTCCTCAACCTGCGCAGTTTTGTCATCAGCAGCTGTCAATTTCTGGAATTCTGAGGAAGAAAAACATAACCAGTCTAGCAGCCCAATTTATAGAACCTCATTGTACCACAGTTGCTAAACAGCCTGGCCACTGGCAGGACAACACCACAGGAAATTTTGCAATAGGAGGAGGAGATATCACAAACCATTTAAGCAATATGAAACTGAACTCTGGCACAAACATCAGGGCATACAGAAAGCATAACCCTGCAAAGATTAATGTAATAATGTTCTATGGAACATTATTACATTAATCTTTGCAGGGTTATGCTTTCTGTCAGAAAGCAGTAAGCTAGACAGACCGGTCACTTTCCTTTCACTGTTTGGTCTTTGGATTCAAATACAAGGATGCATTTCATAGCATTTGCTGGCAAGGACTGGTCTGCTACTAAAGAGTATCTGCCCCATCTACTCCGACTACTGAGCGGCAGATCTCCATTGCATTGCAGCATGTGGATACACTAGCAGAGAGTGAGCCAAGATAAGGTTAACTGTTTCTCTTTGGGAAAACCAAGTCTTTTTCCTATATTCCTAGGTTGCAGTAATGTTCAGGTACTAGAGCTGAACAGATTACGGAAAAAGGAAAAAACTTGGGATGAAGGCCCAGCCATTATTTAACTCATCTTCCAAAGTCTCTTTGCACAGCTTCCATTCTGACTCAGGATAAGATCAAATTGCAACATCTTTCTTTTCATGCTGCATGAGAAACGCCAGGGCAAAGGACGTCAAGTGATTATACAAGCTAGAATGTTTCTGCCATTTCTGGCTGGCTGTTGCAACATGAAAATCTCACCAATGCAAAATTGGGGTTTTTGAAAAGTTACCATACCACTGTATTTCTATTAGAGTGGAACTTCACCCAGAAGGTGAGATTATGCTTTTTTGCCTCCTCCCCAGCCCCTCCTCTTCTACTTTGAGCACATTATATTTTTTGTGGGGGAGAGGTTACCTGGTTATGACAGATACCCACTCCCACTTCTGTGATCGATCTGAGCAGAAGTTTGCCCCCACCTCTCCCTGCCCACAGCCTCTTGGGACACGTTACAGGTCCCAGAAGGCTGTGGAACCATTCAAAAAGCAAAGCATGGCTCACACATATGCCGTGGGAAGCCATCTGAAGCCGCAAAGTTCAAACTAAAGATGCTGGGGACCCAAAGACTGGTGAAGAACTGGCCTGAGTGAGGGTGGTGCTGGATCCTTAGACTAACCCCTTCACGCCTAAGGTAAAACAAATCTTAGCGCCTAAGCACAATTTCGCAACGTTGACATGTGTTAGCAAACCATACATATCACAACTACTTTGTGCATCCAGGTGGATTATACCTTGTTTTTTTCAGGACAAATTGGGATCTCATTTGGTGGTAAATGGTAATAGATATCTCCTGATTTTTTTTTTCATTACCAAAGGAAAACTGGCCCAAAACAGTAAAAAAAAAAATCTAGCCGTATATTTCTTGCTACTACCATAACCTACCACCAAGCAACCCAAAATAATTTCTCCTACTCCTGACGATCGCAACGATACTACGTGTGTATTCGTTGTTTGTACCCGTAGTATAGCCCAGAAACAATAGTGCGCAATTTGCTTTTTTTTTTTTTTTTATTCCGCCATGGACACTAATCGAAAAATTAAAAAAAAAAAAAAAAAAAAAAAAAAAACTGAACCTGACTTTTGACCCTGGCCTTGACCCAGACACTAGCAGAGACCTAGATCAAACCTTGGTATTTGGTTTTAATTTTTATTCATTTATTTATTTTTTTGTTACACACTTTTTTTTTCTCTGAAAGGACAGAGATACAATGCATGTCTCTCCTTCATTCGAGAAAACAAAGACTGATCACTGTGACAGCCAATCAGAGGCTATCACAGCGATCAGGTGACCAGCAATTGGGCGTTCTGGGTCCTGAGACTCTCAACAACACCCCGGTCTTTGTGCTGGGGTTCAGGCGCTCTCAGCAGAAAGACAAGTATACAAATTAGTGGCCCCACAGAAAAAAGCCCAGTTCTGTAAGGCCGCTAATTTACGTGTGATTGGCGTCAAGGGGTTAAAAGGCAGAAGGTACAGTATTTGTAGCTGTTGACTTATTTTTTTCCAGAATGAAGAAACATTTTAACTAGTGCAATATGTAATAAAAAAAAACAAAACAAAAAAAACCAAACTATTGTGTTTCATAAAAAGTGCTTTGCTCTTAACTTGCTTCAAGCAAGTAAAGCAGATGCTTTGTTATGTTTAAGGTCATATTAAAGTGCTCCTCCTGTAGCGTTATGCATTGAACACACTGTAGGACTTCGAAGGCTATAAATAAAACAAAAACTGCAGGTGCGGTGTGTCATATTTACAGCAATGTAGAGCAGTTTGCCATACACTGTATAAATAGACCTCCTGGATTTGGATTGAGTAGGAAAGGGGTATAACCTCTTTCAGGTTTTGAATGCCAAGTATGGAGAGTGGGTTGCTGGTGTAGAGATTCATAATTGGATACAGAATATCCAGCCAAAATAACAGATATGACTTTGTAGAGTTGCAGATCTTCTTGATGATAATGATGAACACTCACTTCTATGGACGGAAATTATAATCTGGGATGTGGTCTTTGCAGATGTGGGAAAGTAATAATCTCAAATCTCAAGCTTTACTCAGAGAAAATTCAATATGATTTCAATATCAGTAGTCATATAGCAATATGGCGTGAGCCTGCAGTGAATGTCACGTTTTGGGGTTCAGCAGGATGCTGCAGGGGGACAAATATATTCAATAGAAGGAAAAGAAGCTCAGACTGAGCAGAAAAAGAAAAAGCATCTATTGAAGAGAAAACCCCAATAAATCCTGGCTCCAAGGACACTAAGATAAAACTGAGCCTTAAATTCCTGCACAAGGGGCGATAGCCAAATGGTGAATGTGCATACTCTGCTGCTTAATGTCCTCTCTCTTGCCATGCTCTACAATGAACATTCAACAAAAATGTTGATTATTGTGGTTCTCTCTACCTTGAATGAATTCCTGAATCTTCTTCTCTTTGCTTTCCAGTAACAGACGAACACAAACAGTTGTAAAGTATCGAGTGGAAACTTCTTTGTCGCGCAAAACTCTTTGCAGAAGTCTTTCTAGATGAGCCTGTGTGCTCTGTAGTCCTTGGCGACATCTTGTTAAATATGCAATATAGGAAGCTCTTTTCCTGTAACAAATCAACAAAAAGGAAACTAAGTACAATATTTTCATAAGCGTAGGTATGTTTTTTTCTAGGTATACAATGCCATCTTCAGCTGCAACTCTGGTGTTACCACACTATATGTGTACAAATCCATAGAAATAAAATGAAAATGCATAAATCAATTTCATGTGAATTCACCAATAAATAAATGTACATAAACATTTAAATATAGGATTCCTGAAAAAATATATACAGTTGTGGCCAAAATTATTCAACCCCCAATGCTGTAAAGGGGTTTAGGGACTATAGTGTACATTTGGAATTGTATTCAGAATCAAATCCTACAAGGACGTTGTAACTACCCAAATGCAACTAAAATGACATCAATTGTTTATGTAATACAGTAGTAAATGGTTCTTATGTGGTTTCTTCATTGCCACAATTATTCAACCCCTTAAAGACTACCACTCTGAAGAACAGAGGTTCATACAGGTGCTTTCCATCAGGTATTGAAAACACCTGTGGATGTCACCGAGCAGCAATCAAGCATAATAAGCACCAATTAGGCAGCTTTAAAATGACTGTGATACTCAGCTCCTTCTAGACATTTACTGGTGTGGTTACAAACATGGTGAAGGCAAGAGAATGGTCCAGGAAGACAAGAGAAGAGGTGATTTCTCTTCACAGGAAGGGCAATGGCTATAAGAAGATTGCAAAGATGTTAAACATACCAAGAGACACCTTAGGAAGCATCATTCGCAAATTCAAGGCAAAGGGCACTGTTGAAACGCTACCTGGTCGTGGCAGAAAGAAGATGCTGACTTCGACTGCTGTGCGCTACCTGAAGCGTAGAGTGGAGAGAAGTCCCCGTGTGACTGCTGAGGAACTGAGAAAAGATTTGTCAGATGTGGGTACAGAAGTTTCAGCCCAGACAATAAGACGCACACTGCGTAATGAAGGCCTCCGTGCCAGAACTCCCAGGCGTACCCCCTTGCTGTCTCCAAAGAATAAGAAGAGTCGACTGCAGTATGCCAAAAGCCATGTGGACAAACCACAAAAGTTGTGGGATAGTGTTCTGTGGACTGATGAAACAAAATTAGAACTGTTTGGGCCCATGGATCAACGCTATGTTTGGAGGAGGAAGAACAAGGCCTATGATGAAAAGAACACCTTGCCTACTGTGAAGCATGGTGGAGGGTCAATCATGCTTTGGGGCTGTTTTGCTTCTGCAGGTACAGGGAAGCTTCAGCGTGTGCAAGGTACCATGAATTCTCTTCAGTACCAGGAGATATTGGATGGAAACGTGATGCAGTCCGTCACACACCTGAGGCTTGGGAGACGTTGGACCTTTCAACAGGACAATGATCCCAAGCATACCTCCAAGTCCACTAGAGCATGGTTGCAGAGGAAAGGCTGGAACATTTTGGAGTGGCCATCGCAGTCACCAGACTTAAATCCGATTGAGAACCTCTGGTGGGACTTAAAGAAAGCAGTTGCAGTGCGCAAGCCTAAGAATGTGACTGAACTGGAGGCCTTTGCCCATGAAGAATGGGCGAAGATACCCGTAGATCGCTGCAAGACACTTGTGTCAAGCTATGCTTCACGTTTTTAAAAGCTGTTATAACTGTAAAAGGGATGCTGTACTAAGTACTAAGATTGAATGTCACTTGGGGGTTGAATAAAACTGATAATGCTGTGAGCACAGAAAAGACATTTGTGGTTATTTCATTATAACTGTTATGTTATATTTGTCTGACCTACAAGTGCCTCTTTAATGTAAATGTAAGCAAGATGACTGAATGATCAAAAGCAATGTCAGTCAAACTGGCCAAAACACTCAATTTCAGTGGGGGTTGAATAATTTTGGCCACAACTGTATCAAACTTCTGTTTGACATGATAAATATTTCAGTGCATATACACTATATTGCCAAAAGTATTGGCCCAGCCTTCCAAATCATTGGATTCAGGTGCTCCAATCACTCTCCATGCCCACAGGTGTATAAAATCATCACCTAGGCATGCAGACTGCTTCTCCAAACATTTGTGAAAGAATTGGTCGCTCTCAGGAGCTCAGTGAATTCAAGTTTGGTACCATAAGAGGTTGCCACCTGTGCAATAAGTCGATTCGTGAAAATTTCCTTGCTACTGAATATTCCACGGTCAGCTGTTAGTGGTTTTATAACAAAGGGGAAGCAACTGGGAACAACAGTAACTCGGCCACGAAGTGGTAGGCCGCGTAAAATGACAGCGGGGTCAGCACATGCTGAAGCGCACAGAAATTCACAAGTCAATAGCTAAATAAGCACAGTCAATAGCTAAAGACCTCCAAACCTGGTGTGGCCTTCAGATTAGCACAACAACAGTGTGTAGAGAGCTTCATGGAATGGGTTTCCATGGTCGACCAGCTGCATCTAAGCCTTACATCACCAAGCGCAATGCAAAGCGTCGGATGCAGCAGTGCAAAGCACGCCGCCACTGGACTCGAGCAGTGGAGACGTGTTCTCTGGAGTGATGAATCACGCTTCTCTGTCTGGCAATGCGATGGACATGTCTGGGTTTGCTGGTTGCCAGAACGGCACTTGCATTGTGCCAAGTGTAAAGTTTGGTGAGGGGAGATTATGGTGTGGGATTGTTTTTCAGGGGTTGGGCTTGGCTCCCTAGTTCCAGTGAAGGGAACTCTAAAGGCGTCAGCATACCAAAGACATTTTGGACAATTTCATGCTCCCAACTTTGTGGGAACAGTTTGGGTATGGTCTTATCCTGTTCCAACATGACTGTGCACCAGTGCACACAGCAAGGTCCATAAAGACATGGATGAGTGAGTTTGGGATGGAGGAACTTGACTGGCCTGTACAGAGGCCTGCCCACAACCCCATAGAACACCTTTGGAATGAATTAGAGCGGAGACTGTGAACCAGGCCTTGTCGTCCAACATCAGTGCCTGTCCTCACAAATGCGCTTCTGAAAGAATTGTCAAACATTCCCATGGACACCCTCCTAAACCTTTTGAACAGCCTTCCCAGAAGAGTTGAAGCTGGTATAGCTACAAAGGGCGGGCCAACTCAAAACTGAACCCTACGGATGCCATTAAAGTTCATGCGCATGTAAAGGCAAGTGTCCCAATATTTTTGGCAATATAGTGTATATAAATAGATCTATAAAAAAACATTTAATAAAATTCATACATGGAAAATAAGTGAATAAAAACCATACATAATTAATCATGAATCAATCAAAAAAAGTTGTCCAAAGTCCATGTCCAGTGCATATGTGCAAATCATTCAATATTGTGCAAAGCACTGCAACTGAAAAAGTGTTCAATAGAAGCTTGTAACAATCGTCCATGATCAGCCTAATCATCGCAATCGACATCAAAATGATGTATTATGTATTGCGTATGTTTTTTCATTGATGTACTATGTTCAATAAATTTGTATTTTTTTTTTTTTTTTAAGAGAAGATCTTTTTTTCTTTTGTAGTTTTGGTGCTTAAAAAGTCCCTTTTTCTTCTGTTTGTTTTTTATGAATCGTCCATTATCACACACCACGTGGCCTCTCCCTGAGCACATACGGTATTCACCAATTTCTATAACAGATTTAAAACATGTCTGAGTGTGTTTGGTGCCGGGATATAGTCATCCAATGTTAATGAGTCTCCAGTGAGAGAAATGTTAATGAGTGAAAGTCATAAATATCAGCATGCATTTCCCCACCATTATTTAATCGTCATTGTCCAACAAATTTATTAGCCACACATATGTATCACACTTAGAATGGGTGAATGTCAGGCCGACACTAAGAACCTACCGTTAAGTCATAGTTTGCACTATTGGCTCCAGTGATGTCTCTAAGCCACGAGTGGACAAGCTTTGCGGGTGACATTACAATTCAGACCACACCTTATTGTGTGGCTAATACATTTTTTATGGTTTTACACTATTAGTGCTTCTCTCTTCTTAACATGTATATATGAGAGATGGGATCAGACGATGACAATTAACGAATATCTTGCTGGAGAAGAATTGCATGCAGAGTTGGAGAGCTCGGAGTTTTGTTTTACAATTGTGATAGCTGTATGACTATCACCAAGCTTGAATATATACCGGGACAATACACACTCAGACATATTTTTAGATTTGTTTCAGTAGTTTGTTTCAGCAGTACAAGAAAGCCCGCATACAGTTTGCTGAAGACAAGCAGACTAAGGACATGGATTACTGGAAGCATGTCCTGTGGTCTGATAAGACCAAGATAAACTGATTTGGTTCAGATGGTGTCAAGTGTGCGTGGCAGCAACCAGGTGAGGAGTACAAAGACAAGTGTGTCTTGCCTACAGTCAAGCATGGGGGTGGAAGTATAATGGTCTGGGGCTCCCCAGTGCACGAGTGCTGCCGGCACTGGGGAGCTAAAGTTCATTGAGGAAACCAGGAATGCCAACATGTACTGTGACATACTGAAGCAGAGCATGACCCCTCTCTTCAGAGACTGGGCCACAGGGCAGTATTCTTTTAGCATTTAGCTTTTTTCTACTAGAAAAATGCTCCCAAAAACGCCACAAAACTTTATTTTTTTGCTCCTAAACACTGAAGCTTGAAAAACTCTACTAGCCTAAAACAGTGTGCATGGACACATAGGATAACATTATTTAGCTTCTAGGAGCAGATAAAAAGCCTTACAATGAAAAAAAATATTTATGTAAAAAACTATTTTAAAGCTTTAAATAAGTTCACCCTTCTGAACATGCTACATCCATATTTGAGGTGCAACATGTAGCATGCTCAGTAACCTCCCTCTGCATTGTGACAGTGGGTTGGGGATCCTCTCCCTGCATCTGCTGACACAATTTGAAAACAGTGTGGCTGTGCCAGGTTCCACCACACAGCAATGTCGTTCATCCAGAGTTCTGTGAAGGATTGAACTACAAGTACAGGTAAGGGTAGACAGCTGTGCGGAGAGTCTGCAGGAACCTGGAAAAGTATTCCTAAAAAAGGAAAAAATTGCTAATTTTTACCTGCAAAAACATTTGCATTTATTATTTTGTTTTTTAAAAAAGAGAATTTATCCTATAACACATTTATAATAGGTTCGATTTCAATAAAACATTTTCCTAACAGCTCCACCTTTAAAATCATTTTACATCCATATTTAGGGTTTAGCATGTAACATCAGACCACCTTCAACCCCAATGAGGAAGAAGCTGCAATGGAGGAAAAGCAGATCAGGTTGAGATGATCCCATTGAGTCTGCAGTCATGACGTGAGTGGGAGTTATCTTGGCTGCCTGGCAGTTTGTTTGCAGTGTCCAACTCTCCTGTAAGCAGCAATATAACCCTGTTGTATCTGAATATTTGATCTCTCAATTAAGAAAAACAGATAAATGAATACCACAGCAGAAAAAAAATTTCTTACTAAAGCTTCTATTTTCAGTAAAGTCGGATAACTAAGACCCTTCTTTTGTCAATACAAATTAAACTTTACCAGCCAATCAAATGGTGGTCTGCCCTAAATTCCTGGCCACAGTATCTTAGGTGGAATGTGAGAGACAACATGCAGGGCAGAAAGCCTTTACAAAATCATTACTAATCTTCCATACCTATAGTCCTCTGCAATAGATGTGAGGATCTTGCTGCAAGTCCGACTGTCAAAGCGGCTTACGCAGCGCATGGTCTCCTGAATCTGAGCCATGAGGTTCTTGTCCTGTAGGTTTATGGCTTCAGCCAGCTGGACTTTCAGGAAGCAAACAATCTCATTGTCTGTGTCAAAGACAGTAACATAAAATGTTATCCTTACATATGCAAGAAAATAAAAGCAATCACCATAGACTATAAACTGCTTTTCCAAAGTCAACTGTAGGTTTAAGAGTAATTTAAATTAAAAGGCAATTCAAACTCAGCAGTAAAACTATTTATACATATGTAAAAGTGTTAGGTCTCCCAACGTAAAATATAGTTATACAATGTCACACCACTGCATAAAATGTGCAGTTCTGTATCTGTTCAGCTACACTACAGTCCTTGTATTTTGCAATTTCAACATTTTTGATCAGTGTGTTTGGCGATTTTCCAGGAGTTCATCCCCCCCAAATAACTTTTTATTCAAAGTTGTACAGTTTAAAAAAATTAATAAAATTAAAAAAGGGACACACAACATATCAAAACACAATGTATGGTAGCAGTCATACATTCCCTCAGTACAGGCATATAAAGTTTCACCTAATGTGAGGTCATCACAGAGGACAAGGGGGCACTCTTCACGTCTGGAGGAAAAGAAATGTAATCTCCAAACACGGAAACGTTTCTTCACAGTGAGAGCTGTGAAAATGTGGAATAGACTCCCTCAAGAGTTGGTTCTGGCCAACTTAGTGGACTGCTTCAAAAAAGGCCTGGATTGTTTCTGAGATAAACAGAATATAACTGGATACTAACATTTATAGGTAAAGTTGAACCAGGGAATATCCGATTGCTTCTCGGGGGATCAGGAAGGAATTTTTTTCCCAGCAGGAGCAAATTGGATGATGCTTTGCTGGGTTTTTTTGCCTTACTCTGGATCAACTGTGGGTATAGGATTCTAACTTTTTTTTTTAATGGTTGAACTGGATGGACTTTTTGTCTTTTTTCAGCCAAACTTACTATGCAACTATGTAACTAGATATTCAGAAAAATGCGAAAAAACTTGATATCCCAAAAAGTGGGAGTAATTAGGTGTGAACTACGATGTAACCCACTTAAATAAGGGGAAAAGTGCAACTGCTATGTTTATTGCACTTAAAAATAACTCGCATTGAACATGCCCAACCATTAGTCAACTCAGTCATCCATGTTCAACAATACTTTGCACCAGTCGTTCCATGACCAATCTCATTAAATCGGTAATGTTAGCACTGTAGCATCTGTAAGGACACTAATGCTAGAGGGGCCACTCCCAGAATCTGCATCCGTGGGTTCCTTAAATGAGGACCCTCATTGCAATAGGATTTGTCTTTCGTTAAGCAGGGTAGAGTTAATCTGTGTTCGCCAATCCCCAAATGCAGAAGAAAGCAGAGTCAGCCATTTTAACAAAATACACTTACGGGCCAGGAACAATAACCTAGGGATAGAGGTCTGGGCCTGAGGTGTAAACATTTTATCATCCAATACATGTCAACAAGTCATTGTGCAAAAGAGTCTGGAATGCCGTGCTAACAGCGTGCTAGTTTGCGGCATTTCCAGGATGGGGATTCTCCACATCTGGGACAATACAGGCTCTCTCTACAGTGCCATTGATGTAACTTGTATGGCATTCTATGCACCCTGTGAATAACAAAAAGTTGAGACTGTTGATGAAATGGACACCAGAAGGACCTGTTCCAAAATAGCTTGCCAATTCTTCACACCTAATGCATCAATATCCTTGACCCACCCTTTCCTGCCAAGAAGCTGTAGGTTGCTAATGGTGCTATCCAGCAAGGATCTATAAAGGGAAGAAATTAGGCCTTTCATGTCTGTGGAGGTCAAATTTAAATCTGCAGCTTTCGTTGAGAAAAAAAGTCTGGTGATTAGGCCATGAAAGATCATTGTGCAGACACTTGATATTACAAGGTGGCAATACTCTGCCCCACCTCCCAATTGTACTCCTGTGTGGTCACCTTCTCACAAACTCTCCCATGTGAGACAAGAGGCTGTGCTGATGCACACTGCACAAGCATGTTCAACCGTTCACCATCAGGAAACCTTCTATGAGGAATGACATGCAACAGCCAATGGAAAACATACAATTGTCCAGAAAGTGGCTGGAAAAAAGATGTAGTAGAGTGGCACTACTGATATGCAACAAAGGATAAGAAAATGTGAAAACAGTATTTAATTAAAAAAACAAAAAAAAACCCCCACAAGTTTATCATATACAGTGCTTTAGAAACTAAATTATTCAGTTAAAGTGTCCTGGATGCCTTAGAGCGTTATTAAACCGAAAAGCAAACATTATATTGCAGCTTACCAATTCTTAGAAAAAATGGCTGTTTTTAGGCTCTTTCCTTGATTTTCACCTGGTGATCTTTCCAGTAAGTCTGCTGTTTTTCAACAGAACAAGCTGTCCTGCAGATGTAGCAGTTGCAGGGTTAAGACAAACCATTTACTACTGACAGGGGAGCTTACAATAATCAGCTTTTACCTATGTAAAGCCTTAATCCCAAAAGGTAAAAAACTGTTTGACGTAACTGCCAATAAAATGTTTGATGGCGCTTAACTTCAATTTCTTAGTGCATCTAAATCTGCTAGTGCATCTTCCATCCAGATTAACAATGCTACTGTGCAGGTCAAAAACGCATCAAAAACACATAATAAACGCACTACATGTGTTTTCTGCAGCGTCTCCATTGAACCAAAAATACAAAATTTCCTTTCCAAAAATGCAGCGGCTCAAAAAAAAAAAAAAAAAAAGCATAGATGTGAAACCATGCCCATAGGAAACCATGCTACTAAAAAACCAGGCCTAAAGCAAACCCGAGGGTGGAGGGTGTTCACACACACTCTTCATGTTCAACCACAACACAGAAGCGTGTGCGCTCATGAATCAAAGATGGGGAAAAAAAAAAGCTTCTGGATTGTGCCCACATATGCTTGGTTGCCATCTTAGGTCTACAATTATTACAGCTTGCAGAGGTTGTCCACATTCAGCTGGACTTTTTCTGTAATGTTGAAAGCATTTCATTGCTTATCCAACCCCCTTCTTCTGTACATTGTGGAACAAGTTGAACATAACTAATACTAGCTATATCATGGCCTGGATAAATCAGAACCTTCACAGACTTACAACAGTATTTTAAACCTGCTGATTTACCTTCGGGGTCAGTATGATCCGGCAGACCATTACGTGTGGAGTGGGACAGCATTGGAAAAGCAACTGAATCTGCAGAACACAATGCTAATCTCAACTTCTTCTTTGCATCCCTATAAAAGAACAAAATGTTAATGAATATATGGGTCTGTGCTGTATAACGCATGGTAAAAATGTGTCATACACATTGCACCAACCTGAAACTTTCTTCTACACAGATCTGCAACTCTTCAGCTTTGTGGCACATAAGAGAAACATTAAGACAAAGCCATAGATGATTCGATTTTCTCTCCTGCAACCTCAGTTCCCCCATCACCACAGTCAGGGTTAAAGATGGAATCATTCCAGCAGTGCTTTTTGTGTTCTGTTGGCAAGGAGCCGTCCAGGCCAGCAGAGCACAATGATTACTGCTAGCGGCTATAGTCACCCGCAATCGCATGCAAAAAATCCGACAGGCTGGCTGTATCGACTTGGGTACCACCAGCCTGCCCAGAGATGGATCAAATCTTGGCTAGTCCCTGCTGAACTGGCTGAGATTTGATCCATCTATGGGGTCTAGTTGCAGTAGAGAAACCATGTGGTTGTGGAGAAATGTAACAACATTTCCAAAAGCCCTGGATTTGAGGACATTGCCAGATTACGTGACTAAATGTGCCTGGAGCAATAAGGTGTTTAGGGCACCATACACTGAGGCGTGCAAAATTTAGCTAAGCGTATCGGAGTGAGGTATGTCCTGTGAATACATAATTGTGTAAGGTGATCCAATACCTTGGGGGATACCCATTTACAGGCCTCCAATATTTTGCCCCAGGCTCATCCACAAGAACACCAGTATCTTCTTCCCAATGTGATTTATGTGAGTATGCTAATTGAGATGCAGCTGCAGAAAGCAATATATCATAAAAAGTAAAAATCAGTTTACAAGGTTCATCACCATAAATCACTTCTAGTGTCTCCAGCAGGGACGCCATAGGGAAACTACCAAGAAATTGAGTTTGAAGGGCATGCCGAAGATGAAGATATCGAAACATATAATTGATTTGATCCATGTATGGCCGCCTTAACAATGAGCTGCTACTTAAATGAAAGAGCAAATTTGTTTCTTGTACTACTCCACAATTTTAGTATTTCTTATTCATATAACAGAGATACGCTACTCAGGATTCTGCACAGTATCCTAAATGATTACCATCAGCACCCATCTCCAGAAAGCGTACAAAATCCCCTACCATGCACAGTATGACCTATCTGGGTGAAAGACAGTAGATTTTAGATTGTGGTTCAGAGAGAGAACCTGACATGAAACTGATGATTTGAACGAATGTAATATGTGCCGTCAACTCCTGACATGGATAGCATTTCTCCAAAATGGCAAAGACATTTTTATATTTTGTATCTAGCCACCTTATTGCTCGTCACCACCATCCTCTCTCTCCAACTTTATAAAGTAGAACTGTCTTTTGCAGCATGTTAGTTCTTCTCATTATAAGTCCAAAATAACATGGTTTCATTGTAGTTATCTGGATCTGATCTGTCGAAGCCTTGTAGTCTATAAATATCCTTAGAAGTCATTGCCAACTCAAAAAAGGTCAAAGGCACAAATACTTGTCCCATTTTGCTTCCTCATTCAATAAATACAGTGGGTAAAAAAAAGTACTGAACACATAGTCTAGCTGAAAAAAGACAAAAGTCAATCCAGTTCAGCCATAAAACAAGTCACCATTTTTCTCAGGAAATATATTTCTAAAGGTGCTATTGACCTGAAAGTATCACCACATGCCATTAACAACCCATGCAATTAATACATACAAAGAAACCATAACAAAAAAGTTCTGAAATTAAGTTATGTGTAATAAAATGGAATGACAAGAAAAAAGTATTGAACACGCTAAATTAAATTTATTTAAATACACTGTACAAAATCCTTTGTTGGTAATGACAGCTTCAAGATGCCTCCTGTATGGATACACTAGTCGCATGCATTGCTCAGGTGTGATTTTGGCCCATTCTTCTACAAAGTCTACAAATCTTGAAGGATCCGTGGGCCTCTTCTATGAACTCTGATCTTTAGTTCATTACATAGATTTTATATTGGATTCAAGTCAGGTGATTGGCTAGGCCATTCTAATAGCTTTATTTTCTTTCTTTGAAACCAAATGGCTTTGTGTTTGGGATCATTGTCTTGCTGAAATGTCCACCCTCGTTTCATCTTCATCATCCTGGTAGATGGCAGAAGATTTTTATACAAGGATGTCTTTTTTTCCCATTCATCCTTCCTTCAATGACATGTTTGCCAGTAGCGTATGCTGAAAAACATCCCCGCACCATGATGTTCCCACCTCCAAACTTCACTGTTGGTATGGTGTTTTTGGGGTGATGTGCAGTGCCATTTGACCTCCAAAACATGGTGTGTATTGTGGCATCCAAAGAGTTCAATTTTGGTCTCATCTGACCAGACTAGATTCTCTCAGTATTTCATAGACTTGTCTACATGTTGTGCAGCAAACTTTAAACAAGCTTCAACATGCTTTTTCTTCAACATGCTTTTTTCTTTGGCAATGAAGTATTGCGTGGTGAGCGTGCATACAGGTCATGGTTTTGCAACAACAAGGTTGTGAAGGTCTTGAGAGAGCCCTTTGCTTTTACCCATCATGAGAGGTTTCTTGTGTTACACCTTGGTAATGAGACACCTTTTTATATGCCATCAGTTGAGAATGAACCAGCTATTAATTTGCACTGGCAAGGGGCAGGATTGCTTTCTAAATGCTGATATATTTCAGCTGGTGTCTTGGCTTTCCATGCCTTTCTGCACCTTCCTTTCTTCATGTGTTCAATACTTATTCCCTGTGCCATTCTATTACACATAACTTAATTTGTGAACCAATTTGTTTTGGTGTCTTTGTATGTATGGATTGCATGGGATGTTACCGACATGTGGTGAAAATTTAATGTCAATAGCACCTTTAAAAATATTACTGAGAAAAATGGCGACGTGTTCAATACTAATTTTACCCGCTGTATATCCTCCAAAACAGCAGGCAAAGGTGGCATTACAAGTCAACAAAAGACTTCAGCATGCCTCTAAAAATCCAGCATATCATTTTCACTTACACAACCTAAAATATGTTTGAATGAAAATTTTCTGTACCGAGAGAAATATCTATGCTGCCACTTCTGACCTCTGAGTCAGAATACTTGTTGCCTGGCAGTCTGTGGCTTCAGTAACTAACCCAGAATGAGCATGCAGATTGACGCTAAAACTCTTGATTTGCACACTTTCACTTCAGTGATGCAAAGTATAGAGACACTGGAACAACATGACAGCCAGGCAAAGCACATTTTTAGATGGAGAAGCCAGGAAGTAGCAGCTTCAATATTTAGCATTTAGTAAAGGTAGTACAAGAGCTGAAGTGTGTTTGCTGGCAGGATCTACGCCCTGTAAAAGAACACTATATAAATGCCCTATCAAAAAGAGAAGATAAGGCACCACTCACTAACCCAGTGCATTAGTATGTAGATGAAGGTGGCTATAGCCAGTGCCGGTCAATCCATACCCCCGCTTCATCTACATACTAGTGCGTTGGGTTGGTGAGCAGAGCAGCACCTTTTCTTCCCTTTGATAATGCTCTTATACCTTTGAATGGTGCACAGGCGCCAGCTCCCTTCACTGCAACCAGCGGGGCAATCTCTGTCTCTGCTTAGAACGGCACTGCAAGTTTCATTTGGATCACTATAGAAATGCCCAACATGTAACAGTCAGCCTCACACAGTATTCTGGCTAAGAATTTCAAAGAATGCATTAGCACCTATCCGAAGAGACATCAAAGGCTTGTACATGCCTATAAGAGAAGGCAGAGTCAGGAGGATGAGCTGTCTGGCTTGCAGAATCTGGGAGGTCATCAGATGTCATGTTCTGTAATGCTTCTTCCCTTGGAGAATCATGAAGACTTTCTTCATCAACTGCTACGTCTGCATCAAAGCATACACTAGTCAAACTGCAGCCAAAACAAGCCAAATGTCCATCAATTTCACAGCACAGAATTTGGGCTATTCCAGAGACAACAAAAACTACTACCCATATGCAATACACTATTTTATACAATAGGATGCCAATGCACCTTAGGGTTAGAGTGCAAAAAAATGAAATTAAAAAAAACCCTAAAACACCATAGCTGCACTTTTTTTTTTTTTTTTAATTCAGTGCTTATTTCTGTGTTGTGATTCTACTTAAAATGAATAGCCCCACAAGCACGCATTACCATAACACATTTTTGCAACTCTACACGGACTATTTAACCAATGACTTATACCTGTTATACTGTTCCCAATGTGCTGATAGAATATAAACTATTTTATATCCTTATGATAAGCAGGAAGAAGAAACCATATTTATGCATGTATTTTACCTGCTCCCTCGTAAGATACAGCAGCTCCATCATTTGGGCTTGTTCTTTTGATAGCATTCCTGTACTTATTGAGAATGTCCTCTGCAGCTTGAGAATGTGGACCCAGCCTCGACGCTGCATCTTCTGAAAGGCAAAAGTCATTATTCATTAACTATTAACAGGACTCCAATATTGACGATAAAAACTGAACAGATGAAGATACTAAATCTGCACCTGGCATGGAGTATCTGTCAGGCCCCAGGTCCTCCTTCTCCTTTTCTTGTTTTTCCTTTTTCCTGAATGGGATAGGAGCTAAAAAAGAGAAAACATCAACATTAACATTTTCTGTTATTTGTCTTAATGGAGAAAGTGGTGACAGTTCAATAATATATCAATCCAGATTTCTTTTAGTTGGGCCACGAGACACGGTCACCATGCCCACCTAGAGGCCCTTGTAAAGACGCGATTGCTTTAGGTCCATATAGACCAGGGGTGTCCAAACTTTTTTCAAAGAGGGCCAGATTGGATGAAGTGAACATGGTGGAGGGCCGAACATTTTTCCGAACATTCTTTGAACCATTACAATTAAATGCAAATAAATTATTTTATGCCAAGTTAATTGCAAACGACATACTTTTCATTTCATAACATTAAGATCAACTGACAGCTGAGTTTTCACAATGTATTGAAAATAAATTTAAAAAAAACTTACCTGCACTAATGTGAAGGGTGAAAAAGGTAGCTGGAGCTGAAGTCTCTGCTCGGCAGCCGGGAGGGGAAGAGAAACACACTTCACGCTAGAAGCCTGGCCCTGACGTCACCGCCCTCTGTCGCTCCCAGCGCGGTGCAGTCACACATGCGCACTGCTCTCAAGCAGAAGACTGTCTGCCACAGAAGGGAGGGCCGTGCGACAGCCGCATTTACACAGACCAGGGAGAACGCGCCGCAGTCAGGCATGCGCACTGCCCTCTGCTCTCAAGCAGAAGACTGTCTGCCATAGAAGGGAGGGCTGTGGGAGGGCCACATTACACAGAGCAGGGAGGGCTGTTGGAGGGCCGTATTAAACCGACCCCCGGGCTGTAAATGGCCCGCAGGCCGGACTTTGGACATGCCTGATATAGACAGTATTTGGACACAGGCACAATTTTTTATACTTTTGGTTCTGTATGCCACAGAATAAATTAAAACGCAACAATCCAAATGAATTTGAAGTGCAGACTTTCAGCTTTAATTCAAGGGGTTGAAAATAAATATCATGCACAAATTTTAGGAACTGCAACTATTTTTATACACAGTCCCTCCATTTTCAGTGGCTCAAATGTAATTGGACAATTGAATATAATCATAAATAAAATGTTCCATTTTTAATATTTTCTTGAGAATCCTTTACTGGAAATGACTGCCTGAAGTCTGGAACCCATGGACATTACCAAAAGACTGGGTTTTCCTCCTTTCTGAGGGTTTGCCAGGCTCGAACTGTGGCTGTCTTCAATTGTTCTTTGTTTGTGGGTCTTTCTGCCTTTAGTTATGCCTTCAGCAAGTGTGAATGCATGCTCAAATGGGTTGAGATCAGGTGATTGACTCAGCCATTGCAGAATATTCCACTTCTTTTCCTTCAAAAGTTCCTGGGTTGCTTTTGCAGTGTGTTTTTGGATCACTGTCCATGTGTACTGTGAAGCGCCATCCAATCAACTTTGCTGCAGTTGGCTGAAAGTATATCTCTAAAAGCTGCTTCTGTCTTCTGTCACATCAATAAACACCAATGACCCAGTGCCACTGGAAGCCATGCATGCCCATTCCATCACACTGCATCCACTTTTTACAGATTACGTTGTGTGCTTTGGATCATGAGCTGTTCCAAGCCTTCTCCACGCTTTTTCTTCCCGTCATTCTGGTACAGATTAATCTTAGCTTCATCCATCCAAAGAATGCTTTTCCAGAAATGGTCTGGCTTTTTTTAGATGTTTTTTGGCAAAGTCTAATCTGGCTTTTCTATTATTCAGGCTTATGAATGGTTTGCACCTTGTGGTGAACCCTCTGTATTTGCTCTCATGAAATCTTCTTTTGATAGAAAACTTTGACAATGATACGCCCACCTCCTGGAGGGTGTCCTTCACTTGTCTGGATGTGGTGAATGGGTTTTTCTTTACCATAGAGCAGATCCTGCGATCATCCACCACTGTTGTCTTCCATGGATGTCCATGCCTTTTTACGTTGCTGAGCTCACCAATGCATTCTTCTTTCCTCAGAATGTACCAAACTGTTGTTTTGGCCACTCCTAATGTTGCTGCTATCTCTCTGATGGATTTGTTTCGCTTAAGCCTTACAATGGCCTGTTTCACTTGCATGGACAGCTCCTTTGAAAGCATGATGTAGGTTCACAGCAATAGATTCCAATTGCAAATACTACACTTAGAATCAACTCCAGACCTTTTACCTGCTCAATTGCTGAAGAAATAACGAATGAGTAGCCCACACATGGCCATGAAACAGCTTTTGATTCAATTGTCCAATTACTTTTGGTCCCATGTTAAAGGGGAGATGGCTACTCTTAAAGAGCTGTAATTTCAAAACCCTTCCTCCAATTTGGATTTACATACCCTCAAATTAAACCTGAGTGTGCGCACTTTCAGCCCATATCCATTATATAACTATAGCTTGAATATGCTTTGGTAAATACCTGAAATAATCTAAAATTGTACCTGTGTCCAAATATATATGGACCCAACTGTATACACACACACGAAAGAAAATAAAGGGCCTATAATTTTTATCATAGGTGTACTTTAAATGATAGAGACAGAATATCAACCAAAAATCCAGAAAAAACACGATACAATTATAAATTGCGTTGCAGTTCAGTGAGTAAAATACGCATTTGATCACCAAGCAAATATGACTTAGTACCTGGTGGAGAAACCCTTGTTGGTGAGACGATTCTTGTATTTGGTTACCAGGTTTGCACACATCTTAGGAGTTATTTTGGTCCACTGTTCTTTATAGATCTTCTCTAAATACTTGAGTTTTCTTGTCTATCGCTTGGCAACTCGAAGTTTCAGCTCCCTCCATACATTTTCTATAGGATTAAGGTCTGGAGACTGGCTAGGCCACTCCATGACCTTAATATGCTTCTTCCTGAGCCACTCCTTTGCTGTCTTGGTGGTATTTTTTGGTCACTGTCATGCTGAAAGACCCATCTTCAGTGTTCTGGCTGAGAAAAGAAGGTTCTCCAACATTTTACAATACATTGCCTGGTCCATTGGCCCCTCAATGCGGCAAAGTCAGCCTGTACCTTTAGCAGAGCAACAACCCCAAAGCATAATGTTTCCACCTTGACCATAGGAATGGTGTTCTTTAGGGTCAGTCAGCATTTTTCTTCCTTCAAACATGAAGAGTCGAGTTAATGCCAAAGAGCTCAATTTTGGTCTCATCGAACCACAGCACTTTCCCTCAATCCTTCTCTGAATCATTTAGATGTTGATTGGCAAACTTCAGACGGCCCGTACATGTGCCTTCTTGAGGGGGACCTTGTGGGCACTGCAGGATTTCAATCCATGGCAGCATATTGTGTTACCAATGGTTTGTTAGGTGACTGTGATCCCGAACTGCCTTGAGATAATTCACAAGTTCCCCCTGTGTATTTCTGGGCTGATCCCTCACTTTTCTCATAATCATCCTTACCCCATGAGGAAAAATCTTTCATAGAGCTCCAGACCGAGGTCTCCTCACCAATCGTCTTGCTGATGGTCTTGTAGCCCATTCCAGCCTTGTGTAGGTCTACAATCTTGTCCCCGACATCCTTTGACAGCTCTTTACCAGGGTGATGTGGTTTGAATGGAAGAAAGATTCTGTGGACAGGTATCTTTTATACACATAAGTTGTCATTAGGAGCACCTTCTTAAATTGACAATACTAATCTGTGTACCACATGAGTACATAGCCAGTCTGTGGGAGCCAGAATTATTGTTGGTTGGTAGGGGATCAAATACTTATTTTTCGCACTGAACTGCAACTCAATTTATAACATTTGTATCATGTTTTTTTCTGGATTTTTGGTTGATATTCAGTTTCTATAAATTTAGAATACACCTATGATAAAAGTTATAGACCCTTCATTACTTTGTAAGTGGGCAAACTTACAGAATCTGCAGGGAATCAAATAATTATACACTGTACACATACACAGGCATACACACGCAGTTACATAGTTAGTCTGGCTGAAAAAAGACAAAAGTCCACCCAGTTCAACCAAAAAAAAAAAAAGTTATAATCCTATACCCACAGTTGATCCAGAGGAAGGCAAAAAACCCAGCAAAAGCATGATCCAATTTGCTCCAGCAGGGGAAAAAAGTCCTTCCTGATCCCCAGAGAGGCAATCGGATATTCCCTGGATCAACTTTACCTATAAAATGTTAGTAACCAGTTATATTCACACATATATACACACACATTAACACAAACCGTACTTTAAATACCCTGCTCAGAATAACTCCATTCCAAGAGTAATTTAGTAACAAGCCTTGAAACACAGCCTTGGAGCATAAGACCAGGTCATAAATATTCTCTTCAGTTACTGATCTGCTTTTTCACCATTTGAAAATTCACAAAATGTTGTCATATTTTACTCCTATATATATATATATATATATATATATATATATATATATATATATATATATATATATATATATATATCCTATATCTCCTATACATTTCAATACCTTATTGCTCTAGAGTGCAAGCAGGACACTATCAAGTCATTTTGTTGTATGTTTTGCTATATTACTGCAGATAATTGCAGTTCCAGTAATTATCTATGTACCAATTATTTCCTGTACACATACATTGTACAGCTCCACAGGAAGTTATGGCGATGTAAAAAAAAAAAAAAAAAAAAAAAAAAAAAATCCACGCTCTTGGCCTCTGAGACTCTGCTCTCTCCTGGTTCTACTCCTACCTATTGCAGCGCTCCTTCAGCATTACCTATAGCTCTGGCTCCTCCTCTCCACTCCCTCTCTTCTGTAGGGGTTTCCTCAAGGTTCTGTCCTTGGACCCCTTCTCTTCTCCATCTATACCTCCTCTCTTGGTCACTTGATAAACTCCAATGGCTTTAAGTACCATCTCTATGCTGATGACACACAAATCTATCTTTCTATTCCTCACTTCATCCCTTCAGTCTCCTCTCGCATTACTAACCTACTAAGTGACATATCGGCATGGATGTCATTCCACTACCTCAAACTAAATCTTTCCAAAACTGAGCTGATACTATTCCCTCCAGCCCGTGCCCCCTCCCCTAACTTCCCCATCAAGATCAATAATACAACCATCAGTCCCTCCCCTCATGCCAGGGTACTAGGTGTAATCCTAGACTCCCATATGTCCTTTCATCCCCAAATCCAATCGCTGTCCAAATTTCGTAGACTTCACCTCAGCAACATCTCCAAGATATGCCCGTTCTTAACCTCGGAAACTACGAAGCAACTTATTCACTTCCTTGTTATCTTTTGTCTTGACTATTGTAACTCCCTCCTCATTGGCCTACCTCATCGCAGGCTATTCCCTCTTCAGTCTATCATGAATGCTGCTGCCAGACTCATCCACCTCACTAACCGTTCCATATTTATTTATTTCAGGTACTTATATAGCGCCGTCAATTTACGCAGCACTTTACATATATATTGTACATTCAAATCAGTCCCTAACCCTCAAGGGGCGTACAATCTAAGGTCCCTAACTCACATTCATACATACACATACTAGGGACAATTTAGACAGGATCCAATTCACCTACCAGCATGTCTTTGGAGTGTGGGAGGAAACCGGAGTGTGGGAGGAAACCGGAGTACCCGGAGGAAACCCACGCAGGCACAGGGAGAACATGCAAACTCCAGGCAGGTGGTGCCGTGGTTGGGATTCGAACCAACGACCCTAGTATTGCCAGGCGGAAGTGCTAACCATATCTGCCATCCCTCTCTGCCAATCCCTCCACTGGCTTCCAATTGCCCAACTAATAAAATTCAAAACATTAACAATTACATATAAAGCCATATAAAGCCAAATTACATCACCAATCTTGTCTCCAAATATCACCTAAACCGTCCTCTCCACTCCTCGCACGGCCTCCTGCTCTCTAGCTCCCTTGTCTCCTCCTCCCATGCTCGTCTCCAGGACTTCTCCAGAGCTTCCCCCATCCTCTGGAATTCTCTACCCCAATTTATTAGACTATTGTCTACTCTGCTCACTTTTAGGCTATCTCTGAAAACCTCTCTCTTCAGGGATGCCTATACTGCCCTCAGCTAATAATGGAATCTTCTACTCCTCCTACCAGTCCATCCTCCACAGTTACTACCTTTGTACCACTAGCCCCTCCATCTTAGATTGTAAGCTCCAAGGAGCAGGGCCCTCCTAACCCTCTTGTATTGAACTGTATTGTTGCTGTATTGTCTTCCGTTATATTGTAAAGCGCTGCGCAAACTGTTGGCACTATATAAATCCTGTATTATAATAATAATACTATTAAATCAGAGCTCCAGAATTTAGCGACTTTGTTGGTCTTAACTACTGTATACCTGCGCTTTTTACAAAGTGCTTGTCCCCTACCATTTAGATTTCATAGGTTTATGGAGCTCCCAAAAGATTGCTCCTCCTTCCTCCAAAGCAGGACCCTCTGGTCTCAGCCACTTCAGCAGCAGTCCATGCAGCTGCTGTGCCTGCCCATCCCCTCCTCATGCCTGGTCACAGAAGCTTTTGCATTATGTGAACTAATTCACAAAATACAAAGGCTCCTGTGAATAGGCAGCAGAGGGGATGGCGGGCAGAGCTGCTGTGTGTGCTTCTCCCCTCTCAGAGCCCTGAGTGGCTCCTCCAGGAGTGCCATAAACCTGTCGGATGTAAATAACAGAGAAGTCCAGGAGGTGGCATGCACCTAGGTAGATAAATCATAGTATGCCTGCACATTTTACAAAGTGGCTCAATTTCTTGAATTCAGTTTTAAGGTAAACTTGACCAAGCCCATATCTGGACAAATTCTGTCTTTTTCCTTTCACCAACCCCTTTCAACGCGGTCTTTTCACTCACTTTAATTCATTTCATCAATTAGCGGGATGGACGGAGTAAAGTTTGGTGGGGAAGGGGGTCACGTCTGAATATAAGCCTTAAAAGGTTGAGGTGTGGCCATCGATGTTAAGATTAGGTATGAAAATATTTTTTCCTGTGCTTTTGCATGACATTTTGTAGTAAACTGGCATGTTTTGTAGTTATGTTAGAAGAACATTTTTTAAAGTAATTCATTTTAAAATCGTGTTTGTTTGATGGGGCTCTTTTTTGAGAGCATCATTTTTAATACAAACATCATCGGTACCTTTCGGCATTGCAGACACAAAGCGCTTCCTCCACCATGGTTTGTTGCGGTCTGAGCGTTCATCATCACTGTCCTTCCTTTCTTCTGGCTGGAAATATACAATTATAGAAACTTTACAAGGTATATTGTGGTGCTGGTATGAATATTGCTTGCCTTCCACATCTTTGAATACCATCCACCCTCAGATAAAATTATTTTTTATTGGCGATATCATTTGTATAGAAAATGAAAAAAAAAAAAAAAAATGGTGACAAACCTCTCCTCTTGAGGAGTCCTTGCTTGGCGAGGATGATGATGACTGTGAGGCATTGATGGCTCCTGTTGCTCCTAGACCTGTTACACCAGGTGGCAGCTCCCTATCTTCATTTCCTATTCGGCGTGCCCAACCAGGATCACTCATTGGCCGTCGTATAGATGTTGAAATGTCTGAGCTGCGGCTACGCACCAGTCTCTCTGGGCAAGAGTGTCTCTGTCTATAAGCATCAGAGTCCGTGGGAACAAAAACATGGGAACCAAATGTAGGCAACCGGGCCTCATTTCCTCCTGTTGTTCCTTCCAGAATGGGGGGATCTGGAGGTGGATGTGAGGGGCGAGCATAGTGGACTTTGGGCCGCACCACTGAAAAGGGAAAAAAAAAAAAAAAAACAAAACAAAAAAAAAAACGGATGAGTATGTAGACCCTAATAATGAACTTCTCTTATTTTGCTGTCTCTCCATCAAACACACCAACCAAAGTGTTTTGTTATATCCATTTGAAAAGTGCTAAATAATTACTGATCATACCAGAAATTCAAACACTCTTCAGCGTTATCTCAAGCAGTCTGTTCAGTCTAGCCAAGTTCAGCTCTGTGGACTACAGACCACCTTCTGGAGAGGGAGGTATTCTCTAGTCCTAACACTTCTTGTCCAAAAGGTGACAATGCTGCTCATCTACAGATACAGCCAATAAAAGTTGTCACCCGAGGACAAGAAGTGTGTTACTGGCAGGATCACCAAACGACATTAAAATAAAAATAAAAAAAAAAAACACCACAAGAATTCAATCACCATATCTAAAAGGACTAATAAGATGCATTATATTACATCTTTTTCTCTTTGGTTTGGATACATTACATGTTCATGTTGTAAAAGCAACTTTTCTTCCGCAAACTCAAGCCAAGGTGAATTAAATCATATTTACAGCCCTGTAAACACACCTGTGTTCATTATGAAGAATGGAGCAATGCTCATTAATGTGCCTAGGGCATTTACGGCACATTCTTGATGTGGTTTTTTTTTTTTTTTGTGTGTCTTTGAAGCATTGAAACAGATTCAAGAATGCTTGATAAAATTCCCATGAAAGTGTTGTTTTTATAGTGTGAAGTGATGTAGAAGAAATGATCTTTAAGGTGTGGTTAGGTTGTGATGTGATAGTAGACATTTTTGTGAATTCTCTACAAAATGGATTCATATACTTTGATCTTTGACAGATGGCATGGCCCAGCTCAACTGTGCCATTGGCAATAATGCTCAATGTCTCTGCTCCTGGCTGGCCCTAATCAGTATTGCAGACTGGCTTGATGTACCTATACAAAAAATGGCAACCGTCCCAACCTATGACTAGCCATCACAGTAAGATGCACATGGAAGGGCAATGCATATCACAAACAAAGGATTTCCCAGCAAAACTTACCAGCCAGCCTGCAAAGCAACCAATCTGGCCCTGTCTAACACTATGCATTAAAAACAGGGTTTTTGCACACATTTGCAAATACATGCATACGCCACAGTCCAGTGTCAAGGGTCCTCTGTATACTGTGGACCCAACTAAAATTTTCAAAGCCTCCATAGTAGGAGCACATAAATAAATGGATAGGTTAAGGGCAGGTGTTTCTGGAGGAGCCCATCCCTCAAACGTACAGGGACGCAGGTGACACCCAGCTATACCAAAATACAATACGTCCCTGTATCCAAATTAGCCAACTACACAAAAAATGGCAACCGTCCCTACCTATAACCAGCCTTAGCAGTAAGGTGCACATGCAATGCCCACCACAAAGGATTTCCCAGCAACACCTACCAGCAAGCCTGCAGAACAAGCACACAGGACTGTGGCTTACACATGTATTTGCTAATGTGTGCAAACAAAACCCTCTTTTTTTAATGCAAATTGTTAGACAGGGCCAAATTGGTTGCTTTGCAGGCTGGCAAGTGTTGCTGGGAAATCTCTATATCAACCAATATTGTTTGGGAGCTCTCCTATAAATTGGAGGTTCACATTAGATATTATTCCATCCTCTCACATTTTTTTTAAATATGTACATGAGGACAAAATATTACAAAGAATTACCTTCACTAGATGCTGGAGCCAATGGGTCAAACATGGCTAACAAGGACTCCGTTTGGGTTGGTGGAGAGGTGATGTGATGTACGCCTGTAAATAAACAAGGCATATTACTTGTCTTTTTTTGAATGGGGTCTTCGGGTGCACTTTGTTGAGAGGCTAAAATGCAGAATAAAAATAAAGAAGTAAAAATAATAGTAGTTTAGTACAAGAGTATTAAAGTATAGTAGTTTGCAGAAGGTTACTACTGCAACCAAAGCAGTTTTTTAAATTACATTCATCTAAAAAGGAATCTGTTTTGACTTTTCATTTTACATTGTTTTAATTACTAATTTTTAAGCCTCTAATTACTTATATTTGACCCCCCAAAAAAACATTTAGTATAGGGTGTACCCATAAGAAAACATTTGCAGAGCATTCTAAGTTTTCTAAAACGTAGAACATTTCTAGCCCTGAACATAAAAACAACCACACACACACACTTTTTAGATTATTACATACATGGTTTTCCATGACCGTCAAGCCCTTAGCCTAGATGCTATTAAGTAGCAACTGTAACTGGCAATAGAATGGTAACAAGACCACAAGGAAGGGAGAGTACTTTGTGTCATTGTTCCATAGACTACACAACCTTTACAGAGGTCAACCAATTGCATGTTAGGAGTATTATGCTATTCTTGGGATGACTGATTTTTGCATGCCTGGATTAACTTGAGTACTTATATGCAAAGATCAATACTACGTGTGTGTCACTACTATAATAGGACTAAAACTTTTTTTTTTTTTTTTTTAAAGAATCCATTAATACTTCCTATTCAGTTCTGACCTTCATAAGCAGTGTCAGATAATGCTGCTGAATAAAAACGTGCAACCTACAAAAACAATTTGCTTTCTAAGGTCAGACTTATAAGGGGACCCTAGGTGGTGTAAGGAGATTCCTATACTTGCTGGGGGTGAGAAGCCTCACACATAATGGTGCTCCCTTTCACTGCCCAGCAAGTGTTAGGGCTTTTCAGTAATTTTGGCCTGCAAAGTTTCCTGAGATGAATAGCTCAATTGAAATGATCATTTACAATCGGCATTCTCATACAAGGTTTCTTAAGTTGTGGCTGATTGATCACCTATTTCATAGTGCTTGTAGATTTCCACTTGGCAGAGCCAGCTGCATGAAGCCAATGATCATTTTAGCTCTTTGTAGCATTGCATTCTAACCACCACTGTCAAGGCTGCATTATTCCCAATGATCACCAGTGTAAGACATTTTTCTCACTGACCTCCAATTCATTGGTTTTAGAAGGGGTTCCCCGAATCCTGAAAATTATTTCAAGGGTGCCGCTGGGTTAAAAAGGCTGATCTACAAAGTTTGTTTCATCTAACACTGCTGCAAAATGAAGGCCTTCAGCATTATCTGACTGTTACAGTGGTATTTATTCATGTTACTTGCTTTCATGAGCAGGCCACTACCCAAGAAGAGTATGTTCCAGTCAGTCAAAATATTGCTATAATGTTATACATACATTGGATATTCTTCCATTTAGGAGATCCACATTTTGGAAGTCATGTATTTAATGCCACTTGTCAGAAAGGATGACTGCACTCAAATGTCACCATTCCCCCAAAACGTAGAGATCAGCTTAATTTAAATCTAAGACCACCTCATCAGACCAAAGTTCTGCCCAGCGTATTGGTACCTCAACAATCCAATACCCTGCAAGAATAGCATTAATAGCATATAACCACATCAGCTAATGTGCTTTAACTTCTTGGAGGATATAAAATGACGTGGGACTGTAATCCATAAAAAACATAGGGCTGACCTCAAGTTTAAACAAGAGCATCTTTACACAATTCTTTTGAATCTCAAGCGGCAACCTTTGCAATTCTATTATTCATTTAGAAAGCAATCCCTTTGAGAGGAGATGTTACCAGGGTATTGGTAACATACAGTGTAATCTGTGGGGCGTCGGGATCTTCAAAAATGAACATTTACATATTAGTAAACTATTGGGATGTATTTAGTAATTTCAGCAGCTTTTTAATTTAAGCTGAAGTGCTACAGTAACGTCAAACAGCTACAGTTGTGTCCAAAATTATTCAACCCCCAATGCTGTAAAGGGGTTTAGGGACTATAGTGTACATTTGGAATTGTATTCAGAATCAAATCCTACAAGGACGTTGTAACTACCCAAATGCAACTAAAATGACATCAATTGTTTATGTAATACAGTAGTAAAATGGTTCTTATGTGGTTTCTTCATTGCCACAATTATTCAACCCCTTAAAGACTACCACTCTGAAGAACAGAGGTTCATACAGGTGCTTTCCATCAGGTATTGAAAACACCTGTGGATGTCACCGAGCAGCAATCAAGCATAATAAGCACCAATTAGGCAGCTTTAAAATGACTGTGATACTCAGCTCCTTCTAGACATTTACTGGTGTGGTTACAAACATGGTGAAGGCAAGAGAATGGTCCAGGAAGACAAGAGAAGAGGTGATTTCTCTTCACAGGAAGGGCAATGGCTATAAGAAGATTGCAAAGATGTTAAACATACCAAGAGACACCTTAGGAAGCATCATTCGCAAATTCAAGGCAAAGGGCACTGTTGAAACGCTACCTGGTCGTGGCAGAAAGAAGATGCTGACTTCGACTGCTGTGCGCTACCTGAAGCGTAGAGTGGAGAGAAGTCCCCGTGTGACTGCTGAGGAACTGAGAAAAGATTTGTCAGATGTGGGTACAGAAGTTTCAGCCCAGACAATAAGACGCACACTGCGTAATGAAGGCCTCCGTGCCAGAACTCCCAGGCGTACCCCCTTGCTGTCTCCAAAGAATAAGAAGAGTCGACTGCAGTATGCCAAAAGCCATGTGGACAAACCACAAAAGTTGTGGGATAGTGTTCTGTGGACTGATGAAACAAAATTAGAACTGTTTGGGGCCCATGGATCAACGCTATGTTTGGAGGAGGAAGAACAAGGCCTATGATGAAAAGAACACCTTGCCTACTGTGAAGCATGGTGGAGGGTCAATCATGCTTTGGGGCTGTTTTGCTTCTGCAGGTACAGGGAAGCTTCAGCGTGTGCAAGGTACCATGAATTCTCTTCAGTACCAGGAGATATTGGATGGAAACGTGATGCAGTCCGTCACACACCTGAGGCTTGGGAGACGTTGGACCTTTCAACAGGACAATGATCCCAAGCATACCTCCAAGTCCACTAGAGCATGGTTGCAGAGGAAAGGCTGGAACATTTTGGAGTGGCCATCGCAGTCACCAGACTTAAATCCGATTGAGAACCTCTGGTGGGACTTAAAGAAAGCAGTTGCAGTGCGCAAGCCTAAGAATGTGACTGAACTGGAGGCCTTTGCCCATGAAGAAATGGGCGAAGATACCCGTAGATCGCTGCAAGACACTTGTGTCAAGCTATGCTTCACGTTTAAAAGCTGTTATAACTGTAAAAGGATGCTGTACTAAGTACTAAGATTGAATGTCACTTGGGGGTTGAATAAAACTGATAATGCTGTGAGCACAGAAAAGACATTTGTGGTTATTTCATTATAACTGTTATGTTATATATTTGTCTGACCTACAAGTGCCTCTTTAATGTAAATGTAAGCAAGATGACTGAATGATCAAAAGCAATGTCAAACTGGCCAAAACACTCAATTTCAGTGGGGGTTGAATAATTTTGGACACAACTGTAAATGCACATTTGATATCTATACAGGTTTACTGCTTTAGGGTTCATTCAGATGGGCACTGCCACCCTTCCTGAGTGTAGGCATCCTTTGCATTATGAAGAAATACTGTTGCCTTTAGCAGGTAAGGCTTTGTTCAGACAGGAGCTGACACTTGGCCTGAGAGCAGGCTACCTTTGTTATTGCAGCTGCATCTTCCCCAGGCTGCGTGTGGGCAGCCTATAAAGGTGGACGCAGACACAGACTTCCTTTGTTATTGATGTGTGCAGGCAGCCAATAGAGGTTGATGCAGAGGTTGCATGGGCAAAATCTGACAAACAGGCAGAAGCACGTACACCGATCCAAATGCACACGGTCTGCCTTCGGCTCCTGCCTGTATGTCGAATTTTGACATTTGGCTACATGCAGCTGTGTACCTCTGCATCCACCTTTATAGATTGCTGGCACCCAGCAATAACAAAGAAAGCCTGTGCCTGCATCTATCTCTACATGCTGCCCACATGCAGGGGTGGATGCAAGGGCAAAAACAAAGGAAGCCTGCTCAAAGGACAGGTGTCAGCACCAGTCTGAATGAAGTGGTACCTACTGAAGGAATGTATGATTTTGCATACCTTTGCGTAATCTTGTGATTGTGCAATTTGTCTTCTAGTACAGTTAATCAGAAACCCGCCTTGTGAGCGGACCTAGGAGGCAGGCAAGCCAACCAGGAAGCAGAAGAGGGATCTTACTATTAGCCGGGGTTTACACTGATGTGGTGTGATTTTACATGCAATTTGGAGAGCCAGTGCAGTGCAATTTTGCAGTGTGATTTTTGCTTGTCAGATTCAATTCTCACAGGCCATAGAGCTTAAAATCGCACCGCACTGAACATGCAAAAGACCCCTTTCTGAACCACACCAGAATCCCAGCAGCCTTCATAGGAAACCACGTTTTTTCACTTGACATGCAAATGCATGCATTCTGGAATGCATCACAACCGAATCAGATTTGCATAAGTGCGAACCGGGACTTAGAGTGTATCATAAGTATGGGGCTGCCCAAAATTTAAATGATTAAAAAAAAAAATATATAAATGTATTTCAATTCTGCATTTAGATGTTTGCCTGGAATTTTACTTTGAGAAACCCGCTGCTATATTCACAGATGTCTCTACCAAACTACTTACTATGAACACAGTCCTCTACTTCAGGACTGGTTACTGAATCCTTTCCTCCAAAGTCAGAACTACATTCCGAACGTACGTCTTCAGTCTTGTTGGGTATGTCCTCTGACGTAGCACTGATTCCTGGAATAAAGACAGGTGGTTTGGTTTCTGAAGTCACATGAAAGTCTGATGTTGAAGAGAAAGAGGTCAAAGAAAATAAAGCAGAACTAGAATACCTGACACGACACTCAGTCCTGGGGTGCTGGGCCTTGAGCTGACCTCTCTCACCTCTGTGTCATCTGATGTACTACCCAACCCAGAACAGCTTTCCAGTTCTTGGAGTCTCTCTTCCTGCTTCAAGTCTGGTGCTTCTAAGAAAAAATGGCTTATGTCATCAAGGTGTTGCTGCTCTTAATGAACGGCTGTAGGTCAATAAACAAGGCACACATGCAACAAACATTAAAAAGGACAGCTTGGTATTGCAACTCACCAGAATCACTGGGAAGCACCTCTACACTCCATGCTTCACTGGTAGTTTCTGAAATTGTGGAGCCTGTGCATGGGTCAAGCAGTAAAGAGCCAGAGCCAGGCAGACAAAGCAGACTGCCAAGCATATTCTCTGCAGCTGCACCTAAAAAGACAATGAAAACACATAGGATCAGAGCAACTTAGGACCAGCATTGCCTTTTTACTGATCCTGCCAGTAAACACACTTCCTGTCTAAGGGTGACAATGCTAACTCAAGGTACTGTGTTAAGACAATAGGAGTACACCCCCTTCTCATCTCCGTAAAACAGGGAATGTGTTCAGTAGTACAGAGAAGAACCAGGAAGAGTTGATAACACTGCACAAGGAACAGTACAGCACTGGATTTCTGACAGGATCAAACCTATATAACAAAACAATTTTAACCAAATGCCGCTTTAACAGATCAAAAGGGAGCAAATAAATTCATTATTAGGGTTTACATATACTTCAGCAATGTAGTGTTCAGGGTTACCCTGCATCAATAGAAGAAGCAGCTGTCACCAATGTAAGAAAAAAAAAAAAAAAAAATTCCCGAAAAAAAAAAAAAAAAAAAAAAAAGAAAAGTCTGTTGGTGATTGCTTTCTTAGAGAGGTCTGCCATAATGTGCAAATACACCCTGCATACTTCACAACCTCCTGGAGGCTCAACTTTTTCAAATCAATTGCAATTTATTTCCACTTTAAGTGTATTTTTAAAGTGAAACTAAAGCCACAAAAAAAACAAAAAACAAAAAAAAAAAAAAAATTAAAAAGTACAATCCCCACAAAATCCCTGAATGGCATCTTTTCTCTGGGTTCTTTCCGCTGGCAGTCTTCAGCCGTTCTATTAGCACGGGATGACGCCAGTACTGCACTTGCGTAGGAGTGCAGTCATACTGGTTCAGTTGCAGTGTGCCAGATGTAAACAGCAAGTGAAGCTCAGTATACACTATGCAGAGGAATGCGAATCGGCAGTAAGTGTACTTTGTTGCAGAAGAGACACTGAATGTCTCTTCTGCAATAAAATTCCTGCCTATTCACAATTTTTTATATTATACATTTACAGTATTTTCTGGCGTATAAGACTACTTTTCCTACTTAAAAATATACCCCAAAAATTGGGGTTCGTCTTATACGCGGGGTATACAATGTGAAACTTGAGTTTGTTTGGGTCAAGCTGGCTGGATGGGTGGTAATACTGTACACACAGTATACCGTGCTGAGCCAAGCTGGCTCAATCAAATGTCCCTATGACAGATTAATCTGTCAGCCCGCTGGATGTGCGGTATATACAGTATACTGAGCTGAGCCAAGCGGTTTCAAAATGTACCGGTACGTTCCTACTGTAATCAGCCCGCTGGATGCGTGTATGTACGGTAGCTGCTGCTACATACAGTATACACTGGGCCAATCACGGCGAGTGATGTATTCTACTAATGAATGCAAAGCCTGCTCGGATTGGCTGAGTCAGAGAGATGTCACAACCTCAGCCAATCCGAGCAGGCTTTGTATTTATTCTGATGTTTTTAAATGGTGTTGCCTTTGGAAGGGGGGTAGTCTTATACGGCGAGTATAGCCCAAAACCTGGACTGAATTTTCCTAACTGGAAAATTAGGGGGTCGTCTTATACACCCAGTCGCCTTATACGCCGGAAAATACGGTAGTTCTGCTTTAAGGGCTGGTCATCTGGTAGCGCCCTTTCTGATGACCAAACTAACTTCCTAATAACCTATTTGTACCAGCTGCTGGGTTAGAAGTGCTCAACAGAGGAACATTTCTGATAATACAGAACCACTCTTGTACCAATAGTAACAAAACATTCTGTAAATAGTATTTGCAACATCTGAAATTACTAAAGCAAACTCTTAAGCTAGCCATAGCCAGACTGAAATTCGGCCAGTTCAGAAAGGACTGTCTGAATTTCGATCCATCTACGGCTATTGCCATTTCAGAGGAGTCTATCTAATGATCGACTCCTCTTGAAAGGGACTGTTGGCAGATTTTCATTTGATCAGTGCTTGTAGCCAAATCGGCTGAAGTGCAGATCAGTGTATTCTGAAAGTAAGGAGTTCCTGCTGTTAGAATACAATAGTGCAATGGGGAGGATTCCTCCATCCACCTCACTTGTGAACGGATTCCCCCATTCACACTTTTTTTTTATTTTAAATAGCCAGTTGGCCAATCAAATACAACCGATTCATGTATGGCCAATTTTATGCTCACTTAACCGCCTCCCACCCGCCATATAAGGAAATGACGGGCGGGTGGCGGGTCTCTCGTTCTGGGAGGATGTCATAGGTCGTCCTCCCACTCTGAGCATGTGCACCCCCGAGCATGTACGGCGATCGGTGGTGCACTGTGTGAGTAAAGAGTCGATGACATTGGCTCTGTCATGTGATCAGCTGTGTCCAATCACAGCTGATCACATGTAAATAGGAAATGCCGGTTATCAGCAGTCCTCTCCTTGCCCTGACAGTGCGTGAGGAGAGGAGAGCCAGTAATCGGTATTCCTCAGAGAGGACATCTACACTGATCATCAGGCCACTAATGGATTAGTGCCCTGATGATCAATGTAGCCCCATCAGTGCCACCTGTCAATGCCCATCAATGCCACACGTCAGTGCCTACCAGTGCACATCAATGCCACACGTCAGTGCCTACCAGTGCACATCAATGCCACACGTCAGTGCCTACCAGTGCACATTAATGCTACACCAGTGCACATCATGCCACACATCAGTGCCCATCATAGCTGCCCCTCAGTGCCGCCTAACAGTGATGCCTGTCAATGCCCATCACTGCCTCCCCATCGGTGCAGCCTATCAGTGCCCATCACTGCAGCCTCATTAGCGTACATTAGTGAAGGAGAAAAATTACTTATTTACAAAATTTTATAACAGAAACTAAACAAAAAACATTTAATTTTTTTTTCAAATTTTTCAGTCTTTTTTTAGTTTGTTTAGCAAAAAAATTCAAACTCCAGTGGTGATTAAATACCTCCAAAAGAAAGCTCTGTCTCAAAAAAAAATGCTAAAAATTTTGTTTCGGTACAATGTTGAATGACCGCGCAACTGTCAAAGTGCGACAGCTCTGAAAGCTGAAAATGTGCCTGGGCAGGAAGGGGGGCAAAAAATGCCGGGTAGGCAAGTGGTTAAAGAAGTCCTTTAGGACTACCTAACAATACATACCCATAACATATATTTGCCAATTTTAATTGTAATATAACTTTACACAAATTGGTACATTTTGAACTAAAGAAACTTCATTGTAGCTCTTATTAGAATCATACATGCACCTACAATAAAACGAAACATCAGTGAGCCAGTGGTCTCTTCATAAAACATGGGAAACCAGAACAGAAGCTGACAATTAGCATACATTCCTACAGTATATAAGCAGTACTTCCTCCAGGAAACATCAAATCTGTTCACCAGTGCCAGTAACCTCAGATAATCCCCACCAAGAACTCCTGCTGTGACGTCACTGTGCAATCATACTCCGTCTAGGTCAAAAGCCAAGGACTTAACACGTCCTCATTTAAGCAGCATTTAAATTAACTCAACTACAAGACAACTGCAGTAATCTTACAAATGTTGAACATATTCCAAATACAAACATTAAGAATTTATAATAAGGCAAACAATTACACTTTCAAATGGAGGGTTTTCTTGCCAATGTAAACATCAATGATGTAAGTACAGACTAAACAACTATTTGTATATCAGAGCTACTATAGTATCAGCAGCCACCTAATTAGGTATTTTAAACACAAAAATTTCCCAGCACACCTATCAGCTAGCCTGCAAAAAAAAACCCAAAAAAAACAAAAAAAAAACAAACAAAAACCAAATTGCCCTGGTCTAACAATTCACGTTAAAAACAGAGAGTTTTCAAACATATGCATACAGAGAAGCCCTAGCGTAGGTAATGTGGCTTCCACATACTGAGTTTGCAAATGCGTGCATGAAACCCTCCATTTTTAATGTGAACTGTTAGATAGGGTCAGTTTGTTTTTTTCCTCTGCAGGCTGGCTGGTAATCATATTGAAAAAATGTCTGTTTGCGATTTGTGTTGTCCTCACAAGTGCACCTTACTACAAAGGCTAGTTATAAATTGGGCAGGCTGCCATCTTTTTGTATAGCATGTTCACTGAACTTGGCATGAGGACACATATGATTCCTTCAGCTGCCATTGTGCTCCTGCTGGGTGTCCAATGTGCCTTTAAGAAGGAATAGGCTCCCTCTAGGCATACCTGCTCTGATGTTATCCACTGCTATATATGCTCCAATTTGGAGACTCCCAAATTAGAGTTAAAACAGCAGTATACAGAGGAGCCTTGGCCTTGGGCACTGCGGCTTCCACACATATTTGCAAATGTGTGCAATGAAACCCTGTTTTTAAACGTGAACTGTTAGACAAGTCAATTTGTTTTTATTTTGCAGACTAACTACTGTGTTGAGAAATTTTGTTTGTGATGTACATTGCCCTTCCATGTGCACCTTGCTGCAAAGGCAAATTATAAATTGGGGCAGCTGCCATCTTTTTGTATACCTACATAGGTATTGCCTGCTGATTACTGAAAAATGCCACATCACACCTCAATACATATAGCCAGTCATAAATGGATCAAAAATTCAGCTGGTTCAGCGGGACCCAGCAAACATTCGATCCACGTATGAGCGTTCCACAGAAATCTACCAATTGCATTCTGTACAGCCTGTCAGGTTTTCCCAAATGACCTATGCTTCCAGCAACACTGATCAGGTGTGTTCTGAAGGTGGGGAACTCTCTCTATGGACTATGGTCAGAACACAATAGCACAGCGGGAATCTAAAATAAACTGAATAACTCAAGCACTAACTATGGTGAAAAGAAAACAAAAAAATGAAATACTGTAGCCGCTAGTGCACACAAACCATGTCTCAGTGGGGCAAATTATACAATCAAAATGTGAAGTGAAAAAATACTGCACTACATGAAACAAACAATGGCACAATCCATTATATAACCAAAAAAAGTGAAAAAAAGCTTTTTTTAAGAAAAAATATTAATATTGAAATAAAAATATGTAATACACACATACACTATAAAAAACAAAAAGCACAAAA